AAAAAAAAAAAAAAAAAAAAAAAAAAAAAAAAAAAAAAAAAGAAGAAGAAGAAGAAGAAGAAGAAGAAGCAAAGAAAAGTTATTTTACCTGAACACATTGCACCTCAAAACCCTGTAAGAGCATAAGATATAAAATGCAAAATGTAACATAAGAAAAGCTAGAGCTGGGGGCTGGTGAGATGGCTCAGAGGTTAAGAGCACTGACTGCTCTTCCAGAGGTCCTGAGTTCAATTCCCAGCAACCACATGGTGGCTGACAACCATCCATAATGAGATCTGGTGCCCTCTTCTGGTGTGCAGATATACATGGAAGCAGAATGTTGTATACATAATAAATAAATAAAATATTTAAAAAAAAAGGGGGATGGGATCTTCCTGTATAGCCTAGGATGGCCTAGAACTCAGTATGTAGACCAGGCTGGCCATGAACTCATGAAAGATACACGAGCCTCTTCTCTGCCTCCCACATGCTGTTAAAAAAGATGCTCGCCATTATGACAGGATTACTTTTCCCCCTAAAGACACATCCCAGGGGCTGGAGAGATGGCTCCACAGTTAAGAGCATTAGCATGCACACGGTGGGTCACAACCCTCTAACTCCAGTTCCAGGGAAGCTGATGCCCTCTTCTGACCTTTGCAGGTATTAGGCAGACACACATGCAGGCGAAACATTGATGAACATAAAAACAAACTTTTTAAAAACATGAGGACGTCTCACTATGTAGTCCAGGCTAGCCTCAAACTCACTATGTAGTTCAGATTGACCTCCAACCTGCAGCAATCTTTTCTTTTTTTCTTGGAGGGGTAGGGAGGTTCAAGACACGGTTTCTCTGTGGCTTTGGAGGCTGTCCTGGAACTAGCTCTTGTAGACTAGGCTGGTCTCGGATTCACAGAGATCTGCCTGCCTCTGCCTTCCGAGTGCTGGGACTAAAGGCGTGTGCCACCACCGCCTGGCCTGTAGCAATCTTCTTGCCTTAGCCTCCCAAGTACTAGGATAGAGGTAGGTACCATCGCACTCCACTTATTAAAGCCAAATTTCTATATTTTTTAATTCATAGTAATTTGTCATTTAGTATTTTCTCCATCAATGATTACTGAACACATAACTATCATGTAATAATTGGCAATGCTGAGTTAGTTTTCATTATTATTTGTGTATTTACTTATTATTGTGTGTGTGAAAGTGAGAATTTGAGCTTGCATGCTAAGCTATACCTGTGGAGGTCACAGGACATCTTTGGGAGTCAATTCTCTCTTCCACCATGGGTTACAGAGAACTAACTCAGGTCGTCAGATTTAAAAATAAGCACTTTCACCCAGTAGCCCTAGCTTTCCTTATATTTTTTTTTAATTCACAAAATACAGTATACATTTGTCATATACAGCATGTTTTGGAATATGTGTATTTTGTGGAATGCCCCATCAAGAGAATTAACAAAGGCATTGCCTCACCAGGTATCATCATCTGTGAAGGGAAACACTTAAAGTCTACAGGATACATTGTTATTACTACAGTTACCATGATATAAACTGAGATCTTGATCTTAGTCCTTCTATCTGAAGGAAATTTTATAGCCTTTGATCAATATCCCTCAACTTTCTACACTGTTACCTTAAAAGTTAAAATAATAATAAAGTAAAATGTTCTCAGGGATGGTATCCCATACCTTTAATCCCAGCAATCAGGAGGCAGAGGCAGGCCAGCCTGGTCTACAAAAATGAGTTCCTGGGCAGCCTGGGATACAGAACAGAGAAATCCTGCCTGAAAAAACAAAAACAAAAACAAACAAACAAACAAAAAAAACAACGAATTAAAAATAAGGTCTTTCGGCTGGAGAGATGGCTCAGTGGTTAAGAGCACTGACTGTTCTTACAGAATTCCTGGGTTCAATTCCCACAGTTCCAGGGGACCCTACACCCTCACCCAGACATACATGAAGGCAAAACACATATGCACATAAAATAAAAAGGTCTTGGGCAGGGAATGAAGCTGGTGGGCTACACCTTTTATCTCAACACTCAGAAGCAGAGGCAGGCAGATCTCTGTGATTTCAAGTTCAGCCTGGTTTACAGGGAGAGCTCCAAGGCAGCCAGGGTTACATAACTAATAAAAAAGAAAAGATCTCAGGAATGGAGACTATAGCACTATTGAAGAAGGAATACCTGGCATACAAGGGCCCTGGGTTCAATCCCCAGCATTGCATAAAAACAAAGCAAAACACAGACCTCTGCCGTCAATCAAATTTCCAACCCACTGCACTTTAAAGCAAGTTCACAATTACTAAGCAATGTGGCACTGACTGAACAATTCCATCCCTGGAGCCCTCATAAATATGCAGGGGAGAAACAACCTCACACAAAGCTGTCCCCTGACTTCCACATGCACACTGTGGCACACTTACACAGACACATACACAGCATGCATGCACACAATAAAAAGTTAATTTATAAAGGTAGAAGCAGCAAATGGCTCAGCAGGTAAAGGAACCTATGACCAAGAAGGCCACCTGATTCAATCCTCGAAACCCATCCAAGGCAGAAGGAAAGCAGCAGTTCCACACAAGTTGTTTTCTGGCCTCTATAAGTGTACCATTGGACCGCATGCACGTGCACACACGCGTGTGAGTGTGTGTGTGTGTGTGTGTGTGTCTGTGTCTGTGTGTGTGTGTATGTGTGTGTGTATGTGTGTGTCTGTGTGAGTGTGTATGTGTATGTGTATGTCTGTGTGTGTGTGTGTGTGTGTGTGTGTATGTGTGTGTGTGTGTGTGAGTGTGTATGTGTATGTGTATTGTATGTCTGTGAGTGTCTGTGTGTGTGTGTGTGTGTGTGTGTGGTGTGTCCTCTGCAAAGCAGAACACCAGTGCACTATAAATGCTGACACAAGATGACTTTATCCTGCCACACATGTGGAGATAATGTCGCCTTACACTATGTTGCTTTGGGATACAACATTTCCCTGAACTGTTACATTGTTACTCCTAAAATTCTACTGTATTTTTCTTTACAGTCCCACTCTATAGTCCAGGCTGGCCTGGAACTTGAAGCAATCCTGCTTCAGCTGCTCTCCAGTGGTGCTGAGATTTGTGTGACCCACTATTTCACTTCTATAGAGATAGTTACAGTTTGTTCCAACCCAAATCCAGTAAGTGTTTAAACGTGTCTCATGCTGGGGACAGTGAGACAGAACCAGAGCACCAATGCTTGGGAGACTGGGGCAGATGGGACAGCCACTGAGTCAGCCTGGGCTACTGCACAACCCACCTATCTCAATAAGTAAATAAAATATAAATACATAGATCTTTTTAAGTGAACATGCTCTGTGTTATTAACACTCATGAAAGTCCACAGCACAATGAAAAAGGAAAGCTACTAGCAGGAAGCCATACAGCAGTACCCACAACCCCCAGAAAGGTCTTCCTCCACTGCCCAGCTCATCCGCCCAACAGGCTTTCTGGAAACCCAGAGGGAGTTAACCTACCTGCTTCAAAAATATAAGGGGTGCGTGCCCTGTCCCCAGAGCAGCTTTAACACCATGAAACTCTTGCCACCCAATCCTACCATTCAGATCGCCAGCACCGGCCTCCACAATGGGCAGCCCTTCTTCCCCTTTGCCTTCAGAGCATTCGAGCAGCCAACTCCAAGAGGAAGGCGCCCCAACCCCTCTGCAGTCCTATTATCTTCTTCACTCATCCTTTCCCTGTGACCCCAAGACGCCTCACTCCAAGGGTGAAACTCAGGCCTGTCATCAGCTCCCACAAGGCACTGGAAACACCTCTGCCTTTGACACTTCAAGCTCATTTCACCCAAACCAGCTTCCTCCCTTACCCACACTTCCTTACCAGATTACATGCCATCTCCCCAGGGAGTCTTTTCTTCTCCCAGGCCTGGCCCACTTCCTTCCCTGTATCCTCACAGCTGAGCTCTGTCAGAGACAAATCACACAAGCGGGCTGACTTCAGATTCAAACCACAAACCTCAAAGGGCAAGCAACAGTCGGGCAAGCCTCCCACACTTCCCTAAACAGCCCTGTAGTCTCAGCGCTTTCTCCCTCCCCCTCTAAACTTCCAGGATCTTCCTCTGCTCTGTCACCCAGTCCTGTGGCTTTAGAGCAATGCCTCCCAGGCTTATGCCACTAACCCTGACATCCCAGGGTTCCAAATGACTACACGGTATTCCTCCCCAGACCTAAAATGGGATCCATTTCCTCCAATCTATTCCTCCCCTGGAAGTCCCCACCTCAAAAGTAACACCCCCATCCCTCCTGTGAACCAAGTAAACAGAATTAAATCTTCATTTTCCCCTTTCTCTTGAGCTTCCAACATCCGGCCCATTGCTAAGGCAGTCTTTTTACCTCCAAAGTATATCCCAAATAACCCCCCTGCCACCACCTAAGACACCTGCCCTACACCTGGCTACTGTAACAGGGCTTTTTCCACAGTTCCCCCAAACGATTCTTCACACACTAGCAAAACTACATCTTATAACATTAATCTGACCTTCAGGCAGGGTGGCACACGTGTGTAAACAGAACTTAGGAGGCTGAGGTGAGACTGCTGCTGATTTTGAGACCAGCCTGAGCTATGTAGAAAGACTCTGTTCCCCAAACACAAAATCAAGGGCTAGGATTACATTGCTAACAATAATGTAGGCTACCATTATGTTGCAAGGATAGGATATGTAAGGACCCAGGTTCATCTTTAGCCCCATCCAAAAAAAAAAAAAAAAAAAAAGTGGATGAATCAACTTCTGTTTACAATCTTTTGATGCTTTCCAAGAGATAGATAAAATAAATAAATAAATAAATAAAGTCTGTCTTTGCAGAGCCCCCCAGCCTGTCTGTCTTGGTCCCCTGTAAGAAGTGAGTTTGATCAAGGACATAGGGGCTGGTAGGGGTCTGCCTGCATAGATGACTAAGCTGGAATGGTTGAGGTTGTTTTACTTTCCAATAGGTAATAGATGAGCAAGGGAGATAGATGTGTTAGCTTGTCCATCACTGAGACAAATACCTGATGCAAACGACTTAAGAGAAAAATTTACACTGCCTCATAGTTTCAGAATCATCACCCCGCACTTACTTAGCTCAACTGACTCTGGGCCTATGGCAGTGGTGCACGTCTTTAATCCCAGCACTCAGGAGGCAGAAGCAGACGGATCTCTGTGAGTTCCAGGCCAGCCTGGTCTACAGAGCGAGTTCTAGGACAGCCTCCAAAACAATACAGAGAAACCCTGTCTCAAAAAAACCAAACAAACACAAACAAACAAAAGATTCAAGGGCGTGGGGGCTGGAGAGATGACTCGGTGGTTAAGAGCACTGACTGCTCTTCCAGAGGACCTGAGTTCAATTCTCAGCAAACACATGACAGCTCACAACTGTCTGTAACTTCAATTCCTGGGGACCCAACACCAATGTATATAAAATAAAAATAAATAAATTAAAAAAGAAAAAAAAAAGATTAAAGGGCATGGCAAGGAGAAAATGCTCACCTCACAGCAGCTAAGGAAGCAAAGGGAGCCACAAGCAGCAGGCAAGTCAAGATATACTCTTCAAAGGCAGGCCCCCCTGAGCAACTTCCACCTCTTAACAGCCTATTCGTTATGAATTCATCGGTAGCTTAGCCTATTGATGATGTTAGCATCCTAATGATGTAATCACACTCAATAGCACTGCCACCTGGTGATCATGACATCAACAGATGAGCTTTGCTGGCAGATACCTTGAATCCAAACCACACAGCCAAACATCTAAAGATATAAAAGGGTAGATAGCATTAGTAAACCCCAACCCCTCCCATCTCCAAACACTCTGCTTGATTGGTTCCTTTCTGTTGTTGAAGATTCTGTTATCTTCACACTCACCCCAAGCAGAGCCCCTGCAGACAAACATACTTCCAAGCACTTAACACACACGCTTCAATACCTTTTCTCCTCACCACTGGGGGCAGTCTACTTTCTCAGCACCTACCCACCTGCTGCTTCTAAGCATGTGTGGCGCCCAGCATGTGAACAAATCTGTGTTTTACCAGACCCCCACTGGACAGCTGACTGGCTTCCAATCCTCTGCCCAGCCACAATCTACTCTTTGTCCACTTGCCTCCTCCCCTCCTCCACCCTCCCTAAATTCACCCTCATCTCCAATCTCTAAACCCATCACGCCATCTCCTTTGGGCCTTTGTGCTTTCTCTTGGTTCTTTACAATAGCTCTTCCTTTTTTTTGGGGGGGGAGCTATTACTCAGATGTCACCTCCCCAAGTGGCTACTCTGCCCACTCATCAAAAAACTTCTTGGAGCCAGGTGTGGTGGTGGACTCATTTAACCCCAGCACTTAGGATGCAGAGGTGAGCAGATCTCTGTGTGTTTGAGGTCAGCCTGGTCTACAGAGCAAATACTAGGCCTGTCAGGGCTTCACAGTAAGACCTCTCTATCTTTAGGAAAAAAAAGTTTTCATGAACAGGATACTGCAGCACACTGCCCCAGCTATGAGGGAGGTGGAGATTAAGACTGCTTGAGCACCCAGGAGTTCAAGGTCAGCATCATAACAAGACTTCATTTCAAAACATTAAATACACTGGGCATGGAGATAACACAAAATATTGTCAGTCCCAGCTACTCAAAGCCGACAATGCAGTTAAAATGTCAAGACCTGTCTGGACTACAAAGTGCAGTAACAGATGACAGCCTGGGCAACACTGGGATCCTGTCTCTAAACAAAAATAAAATAGAGCTAAATATACTTCAGTGGCAGAGCACTTGCCTAACATACATTTGCAAGGCCCTGGGTTCAAGACCCAGCATCAATAAATAAATAAAAAGTTTCTATTCCCATCTCTGCTTCTTTAATGATTTACATGTTTACTATGAACTCCATAAAAAAAAAAAAAAAAAAAAATGTTTTCCTCTGTCCTAAATCCACAGTTGTATCCCCAGGACCCTTCCCACCCCAAAAAAAGACTTTGTCAATTTTTTTTTTTTTTTTTTTTTTGAGACAGGGTTTTTCTGTATAACAGTCTTGGCTGTCCTGGAACTAGCTCTGTACACCAGGCTGGACTTTAACTCACAGAGATCCACCTCTGCCTCCGGAATGCATCAATGATTTATTTCTTTGGCTGAATACCTACAAGACACCAGCACCCCATAGGGTCTTTGCATATATAATCATAGTCAGCCCTCCAGGTAGTGTTCAGATGAGAAACAGATATCAGAAAGTAATCTCTCTTGAGAGACAAAATATACATTCAAACCCAGACCTAACTAGATTCCATATTATATTGTGAAAGTGGGAAAGTTAAAAGAGAAAACACCCCAGTCTTGGTAAAACATAATTAGAATTACCACAGCTAAAACTCACTGGTATGTAGTTGAGGGTAGGAAAAGTCCAACTTACAAACCAACGCGGTTCCCTTTCACCCTCAAATGTGTAGAACTGGCAATCATCTGACTCACAAGGATTTGGTTTTTACTTGTACAAAGTAAAATGATTATGTGTACTCACAGTACTGGTAGGTAGAAAGGCACTAGACGGTTGTTGAGTTTGGCCATTTCACAATACTGTGTGTGCTATCACTTACGGACAATGCTCAACTCTTACATGGTATCTTTCTGATCTCTCATCATCTAACTAGAAGCCATCTATGGGTACCATGCACATCTCTTCTCTTTTCAAAATTCAAGCCTACCTGGTGTAAACTCCTAGAAGCCCGGCAGGAAGATCCCAAGTTTGAGGCCAGCCTGGATTAGAGAGTTTGACCTTGTCTCAAAAACAGACAGAGTGCACATTCGTTTGAGAGCCTGCCTTAAAAGCAGGGTCTAGTCCCCTGCAGAGAGCTTGACCGGCACACATGACACCTGCCATGGTGGTACACACTAGCAATCCTAGCACTCCAGAGATGGGAAGATCAGAAGTTCAGGGTCATCTTCAGTTACACAGGGATATGACGGTGACCTGGACTACAAGACACCTGTCAAAACACACACAATCATACACACACAATCACACACACACAATCTCACACACACACATACACGCACACAATTACACACACATACACGTGTACACACACACACACACACACACACACACACACACACACACACACACGCACACACACACACCCCAAACCTAGTAATTCTTTTTTCTTAAAACCGCCTCATTACCACAGATGTTTAAGAACCTGGCTATCTGTTTCAGGGTTCCTAAAACCACATCCTTTTATACCAAGATTCCTGTGACCACATTCTCCCTATTTTCTATTTCTGGATACGTTTCAGAGACAACTTCTTTCTCCTCCCTCCTCCAGACAAAGCAGTCACCATGTCAATGGTCACTGAGATGGCATGTCATCCTCACTGATGAACAGGCACTCATCCAGAACCTCAGACAACGAACACTGAACTTGCTCCTGAAAGCCGGAGAGCGACCACACATTGCTCTGACACCAGAGTTCAAGTCCATTTAGTTCACTTCTTTGAGGCTCCATTCCTCACTAAGGAGTAAATGAAACGATTTACTGGATTTCTAGGGTAGAGTCTGTCATACAGCAAACATCTGGCAAGAAGGAATGGCGAAGAAACAGTCCAACCATCAAAGCAGCGAAGGCGCTCTTTTTGTCGGCGATTATTTCGTAAACACAGAAACGTGTGTGAGGAGACCAAGCAATGCTTAGAAGAAGGCTGGCAATTACGAGCTTGTTTTTTGCTCGCCCTGGCAACTAGGCTTCCGGTAAACGTTTCGGTAAGTTATCACAGCATGGCCTAAATATTTCAGGAAACAGTAAAACTTAAGTGGACGACACATCCCCATTGTCCCTGTCAAAATTGACAACAGGCCACACACTCTGCAAAGGAGAAGGGCCAAGAAATGACGAATAAGCAACAGCTGAACTCAACTGGGGTCCTCCTGATGGAAAACAAAAGCCGAGTTTCTCCCTCCTGACCTCGCTGCACCCTACGGAAAGCCTCCCACCCGCCTGAAGCGCGGCCGTCCCTTGGGCTTCGTTTTTCTCCGGTTCGAGCATCCCATCATCCAAGGCCAAGGGACCGGCGGGTGG